AAAAAAAGAATCAAAATGATTAAATTGGGAATTTCGTGTACGATTAATGAATTAATGAATTATTGCTTGCACCGAAATTAATTTCATAGAGCGAAGAAAAATGAACTGGTTTTTGTTTAATACTGTGTATCTCAACTGTATTCAAATCATACTTTTTCATTTTAACAAAATGAAAAGCTTGACAGGCGCATCGTTCCTGTAGACTGAATTACAAATGAATCGGTTTACAAATAAATCATGCAACAGGAAAGAGAATAAATATGAATTTTGGTTATGGCAGTAAAATATTGTTTTCTATTGCAAAAAATTTCGATCAATTATTATCTAACCTTTAGCTAATGATCCATTGGTAATATTGTCCTGTAAAAATAGGAATTGTCATGCGACGGTGATAATTGGATTCTTGGAAATGAATCTTCAGTTAAATTTGACAATATTTGAATAGATCGTTTTTGTACTTTGTTGTTGTTATTATCAGTAGTATGTTGTTGTTGACAATTTACTTCGATCGTTTCTTGACGAATTGTTCGAACTTGTGGATCTATACAAAAGAACAAATGATAAGAGTTTGTTCTGAATCATTAGATAAAAAAACAACTGCATGAAAACGCAAGAGTATATCATGATAAAGAAGTACAAAACAGATATTTTCAGTTATTACAGACGTAGTATGAGAAAACAATTAACATCTATGGCAACGAGCACAGTTGAATGCTCTTATCGCCGTAGATAATGAGCCTGTGAATAGAACACGACTCTTGATTCTGTTGGATATTAAGTACGAAGAGTTATTTAGATTCATTCTAAAAAATATTGCAGCATTTCTATCATTGTTTCCAACAACATCGAACGCGATTTTCAGTGGGAAAAAACATCCTACGGATTTTGAACAAAATGAGAAAAAAGATTTCTAAATTTATTACTTGGTAAGATATCGTCAGTCGAAGATTCAGGAACAATTTCGGAATTTGCTTGAGCACAATAAGATGTTCCATTAATATTTGTTGGCACCATTGTATTTTCGAAAAGAGTACGGTTCATTTGAAAAAAATTGTTGTCATGAATATTTTCTTGCCGATTGCTGCTGACAAGAACAGAATCACTTGAATATACGTTATCTAAGATGAGATATAAAAAGACAACAGAATAAATATCAAAAATAAGAATTGGTAATTAATGAGAAGTAATTAGACGAACTTTCTTTTTGTATAATTTCACCAAGACGAATACGTTCTTGTACCATTTCCCGAAAAGATTTCAAATGACGATCTTCTTTACAATAATTATGGTAATCTTGTACGAATCCATCGTTACTTCTCATAAATTCAATGGCTTCTTCGGTGAATTCCATACCAAGTGGTAATCGTTGATGTTCGAATGTTGTTTCATAATTTCTGATGTCCAAACCCAAATTCTACACTGAATAATGTATACTCAGATTCAGTATGAAAAGTATGTCGTAACGATGTTTCCTCTTCTTTAAAGAAAATACTGCCGATATCTAAAACGGTTTCGCTAAAAGAATAGTCTGCTTTAACTAGCCAATCAAAGACCACTTTTGTTAATGCAAAGATGGAAAACGGATCATGGGATGTTGATTATCTGACAAGCATGAAAGAATATTCCAGTTTGATGATGCCATGATTTATCTCGATCGTCTTTTTAATAAATTTGATAGGAAATAGTTATGTTTATGTAGAACTTTTTATTTTCATATAGATCTTACCGAACATCCATCTTCATCGCCTCTTCAACCTATTGATTGTACAAAAACGGCTTCATCAATCACCATCGATGCTTCATCAACCTCAGGTTAGTAGTTTTTATTCTTGACTGAAACCGTTTCATATATATGATATTTCAAATTTTCAGCTGAACAAATGGAAACAAACTTTGCCAATCCCAATAATACAGAAAATGAAACTGGTAATTACAAAACTTCATTTAAAAAAAAACGTGAATACCGGCAAGAACAGCGGTTGTACGCTTACATCATTAAACATATCCATCTGTATTATCAGCATCTTTTTTCATCCTGTGTTTACAATAAATAGAAGGAAACTGACGAATACGAGTTTTGAGTGTCATTTGATTATTATCTAATATGATAAAAGAAGATCCTCTGATTTTTACTGAATTCGAAACTATATATATATTTATACGTCTTCTTTCGTTTTCAGCTTCCAATGATGATGGATTTATTGACAATCATGAACATATTCTTTGTCATCAACAACTTGATTCAAATATGAGAAGTGATGAGAAAGACGAAAATGGGATCATTGCCAATTTGTTATAAAATAGTAAGCTATTCCAAATGTTTTCTCCTATAGAATCGTAATACAGTATTAGCTCGTTCAACATTTGAACATCAAATACTTTTGACGGCTAGTCATTTGTAAAATTTATTTCTCACACAGACAACATTATCCAATGTTGACTCTAAAGAGAATCGTTAAGATGCTTTCAAATACGTAACATCAATTAAGTATAATCTAAAAAATGATGATAATCATGTTTTGTCGCCACTGGCATGAGCGTCTGTTGTGTATTTTAAAGCTTAGTGCTTCTTTATTTCTATATTTTTCTTTCCTCTTTTTTATTTGTAGCTAAACATTCTTCGACAAGAGCAGCAGTATTATCACAAAGTGATCCAATGAAGGATCTTACCAACCACATCGAAACACGTTCAACATGTGAGTGCGAGAAAAACTTTTTCTACATTTTCCATATTTTTTGCTGGAAACTCTTTTATCAGATAGTTAATATGCGAATAATTGAGATACGATATGAAATATTTGATCTTCGCTGAAGATATTTCCATCATTAAAAATTTAATAATTCGAAACAATTTATCTCGCGATGGAATCATTTTTCGATAGCGAAGACTAGTTAATGTAGTAGAAGATTAGTTTGTAATCTAAGTTAAAGTATCTGACATCATTTTTTTAACTGATCATAGTTGACTGAAGATCAAAATGTCTCGGTCACTCGATTGTCACACTTCTACAAATAATCAGCTTCGAACAATGTAAATAAGTCACGCGTTTCGTTGCCACGAAATTTATATTTGAATACAGAATTTGGAAATGGGAGTGTGTGAATAAATTCACTCGAATTGGATCGAACAGCCAAC